TTGGATTTCTTAAAGTTTTAATATAATTGATGGCAATAAAATGAAATTAGAAGCTTTTAATCAATCTTTTGTCTAAATAAAAACCAAATTAGAACTCCTATTATTCCGACAGGTATCATAGACGAATAAACTTTAAATTTCAACAGTAACAATCATGCCATTTCTTTTCACGGTTCACAAAAACGAAGAGAAAAAAAAAAGAAGCTAACTGCTGTACACACGCACATGACCACAACAACGAAAAGGAGGACAAAAAAAGAAAACAGAAACCTGAGTTAAAAACAAACGAAACACGAGAGCACCAAAAACAGACAAACAAAACGACGAAAAAAAGAAAAAAGAGAATATGAGGGAATGCATTCTCATCATCGCATTAGTTTGTTTCGTTATATGAAAGACCATAGTGGAGTAAATTTTTTTTTTTATCTTTTTGTTTTTGTTCATTCTCTCTCTCTCTCTCTCTCTCTCTCTCTCAAGATTCACTTTTAATTATTGTTGATGATGGCGATGATGTTATTGTTTTTTCTACATCAGTTATATTAATTGAATATGGATGAAAATCATATCGTCGTCGTTGTCGTGCTGCAACTCCACTATTAACCATAGTTGGACTTGTTTGTGTATGATACATATGTGTACCAGTATGAACTTTTAAATTTCCTTTTGTTGTAAATGCTCGACCACAAACCTAATAATAAAGAAAAACCAAAAACAAAAAGAATATTCTTTTTTTTTATCGTTTTATTTCAAAAATATCTTACGTCACATTTATATGGTTTTTCACCAGTATGCGTTCGATTATGTATTTGTAAAGCTGAAGCAGATGAAAAATTTTTTGAACAAACATTACATATATGTTGTAATATTGATGATGAACGTTTTAAATGATTTTTTTCATTATTTATTAATGTATCATCAACTAACATTTTTGATGTTTGTGATAAATCTTCACCATTTTCATTTATACTATTATCTTTATGTTCATCATTAATAGATGTATTTGAATTATTAAATGCTGCAGCAGCAGCTAAAAATGGAAATGTACTAGCAGCTAAATTTGGAAAAAATTGTGGATTAAATAAATTAAATGGTGATAAATGATTTGTTAAATTTCCATTTGAATATGTTGATGCAGCAGCAGCTATAGCTGCAGCTAAAGAATTTGATATAGCTGATGATTTTGTATCATCATCTTCTTCAAGTTCGTCACGTTTAATTGATTGATTATCACGCTTTAAAAAAATAAATAATTTTATTTCGTTTTAGAAGATCCTTCCTCTTTTCAGGGATTTTCAAAAGTGACTATGAAACTTAGTGGCGGAGCCAAAGATGGCTCAGTCTCTCATCTACAGAAGTTCTGGCTCCGCCACTAGAGATATGAAGGTCGCAAAAGCAAAATCTGATCAAAAGCCATCCTCCCGCAAAACTCTATACTACATTCTTTCGAGGTACAGTATGACAACTAGGATCGAATCGAGGTGCGTATTTGTTTTTTATCTTTCAAAAATATCGTTCCTAGAGCTCAGCAGAAGTAAAATACTGGAAGCACCATTGAAAAAACGTATTTTTTTCAATGATACTAGTTCTTTAAAGGCTGCCAAACACATCCCAATCTGACCAAAATACTTATTAAAAAAAATGTGAACTCGATCAGACATACTGTGTGGGAGAAAACTTCGTTTTGTCTTTGTTCAAAAATTGATACTGGAAAAAGCGAAAAACAAACTTTCAGGGCTTTTTTTCTTCAACTTAAGTGATCGAAAACTGGCTGTGTTAGCGGTTCATGATCCGTGCTCTCAGCATTTTTAAAGACTATCATTAGGAGAATTTCGCATACAAAGAATAATAAGTTTTCCAGCTAGAGATTTTGAGAGTTAGATTTAATAAAAGTACTAACTAACAATGAAGAATTCTCATGTATATCGCATTTAACCGAAGACACTTTGAATCTATACCAATAATCGAATTGATTTTAACATTCGAAAAAGTAGGGTAGATCCTTTAAATAAAAAACAAAAACACATACTTGAACATCAATTTGTGATTCATCATCAATACTTGATAATGAACGTTCAGAATCAATTGCACGTAAAGCTTCTTCAGCTAATGATGCATTATTTGGATCGACTAAAAATTTAAAAAAAAAACAAAACAAAATTATTTTATTTTTTGAGATTTCAATTTCTTCATTTTTACTAAGATGATCTTTTAAATGTAAACGTAATTGTTCAATATTATTAAATTGTTTTTGACAAATTGAACAAGATTTTGATTTTATTGAGCCATTATCATCTGATATACGATGAACATTCATATGTGTTTTAAGATTTCCTTTAGTAGAGAATGCTCGAGAACATATTCGACATCGAAAAGGACGTTCACCTGTATGTGTACGATAGTGCATTTTAAGTGCACTTTGACATGAAAGTATACGTTTACAAACAACACATTCATTTGAATCACTTTTATTTGTTGTTCGTTCAAGTTTTTCAATCATATCTTTTAATTTAGCCATATTTGGATCTTCAGGTTCACCTTCATGTTCTTCCATTTGAAATTGTATTGATGATGGTATTTGTTGTTCTTCATCGGATTTAATTGATGTTGATGATAAATGATCACTAGTTGATAAATCAAGTGGTGATGTTACAGATCTTTCATCTTCTTCAGTTTGAATTATTAAACCACGTTTATCGTCGTCTTCGTCTTCTTCTTCTTCTTCTTCTCCATCTGCTTCTTCTTCTTCGATATTTTCATCTTCATGATTATTGTCAATTGGTACTGGTGATATTACTTTTGGTAATTTATCACGATGTTGTTCAATATGAATTTTTAAATTTGATCGAGAAGAAAAATTATAATTACAAATATTACATGAATATGTTTGTTGTGTTTCAACATTTTCTATATATATGAATAAAAAAACTAATCTAAATTTTTTTTTCTTTTTTTCTTTCTTACCTTCATTTTCAACATGATTTTGTTTTTGTTGATAAACTTTTAATTGTTGTTGAAATTGTTTGATCATTAATGTTTGTAGACGTTGTTGTTCTTGTATAGCTGCTAATTGAATTTTTAATTGATATAATTCGGGATCAATATTTTCTCCAGTTGGATGATTTTTATTTGTATCATGTAATGTTTGCATTCGAGTTTCATTTGCATGAGACATTCTTTTCAAAAAAAAAGAAAAAAAGAAAAAAAGAAATACACAATAATTATAATTCTATTTTTATTCTACTTATTATGATTATTTTTATAATTATTAAAATATTATCGATTCAAAGAAAGGAAATATGATATGACAAAAATAAAAACGAAGACTACGATACAAATGAAATGAATTAAAACTAGATAGAGACGCGCGATTATTGCTTATTAGACGACCGTCTACTGCTAGAAGAAAACAGCTGATCTATTTTTTCTTCTCTAGCGAGATATAGATATATATATATATATATATATTACATTTATATATATATATATAATCTATTTATATATATATATATATAGTTATGTCGATGTAACACGCACATGGTAAACAAACGAGGACAAAAAATAAATTTTATTTCAATCAGCTGAATATGTCAATTTGATTTAAACATTTTCTAATATTTTCTCCAATTGAATACTTACATATACATACTGAGCAGAATAAATGTTTGCATCGGACCCCGGTTACATTATCTATATCTATATATAAATATGCACCCAAATCTATCTATCTTATTCCTAATGCATGAATTATAATCAATAAAAACATTGTTGGCTCTTTTTCTTTTTTATATCAATGTTCTCTATCGATGCACATATTATTTTGATTGCGTGTTTCGCCTTCTAGAACGAGCATATAAACGGACGGGCGCAAAGAAACAATAATATCTATGAATATAAGCCAACAATCGTTTTTTTTCTTCTTCTTCTCTGTCTCAAACACCCAATCCAACAACGCAAGCAAGTTTGTTTTCGATTAAAATATCGATACACAAACGTACCTCGGTCCGCTTAATAATAATAAGAACGATGGAAAGAAGAAGAAGCAACAGCAAAAGGAAAGAAAAAAAAATGAGGAAGATTAATCAACATATAAAATAGATAATAGCAGTCTAATATCTGCTAATGCGGTGCAATGCTACAAATATATACACGTACTCAGACTAAGAGAGTTTACTCGTATATATTCATCGAACACCAAAAAAAGAAGAAAAAAAAAAAAAAAAAAAAAGAAAGTCGTTTACAGCCATATGCCTACTATTCCGATCGAACGAATTTATGAAAGCAAATATGAGCATACTCTTCATACATACAGACATTTATGATTATGGTATTGCAATGAGATGACAACAACGTCGATAGAGAGAAAGATATATAATTCTTCATCATAATAATACGAGAAAGAAAGATATAGACAAGCAGAGAAACTCATAAAAACATATAAATCAGTTAAAAGAGATGACAGATAATCGATTTATTCTTATTTATTAAACGATAGAAATATATTTCTCATTTCCATAAAAAAAAAATTCTTTCGATTTCCTGTAAACACAAAAGAAATTACCAATGAAAATATATTACAAAATTAATATGCATAACTATCGCTTGAAAAAAGAAAATATTTTCATACATTTTATGATTAGAATTTTTTTCTTTTTTCGCGAGTAAATATATGATATCACTTAATCGGATAAAAGAATTAATAAAATTTTATTGTGAAATATATCAATACAACGCAGAAAAAAAAAATTCTCAGGTTATTATCTCTTACCTTTTTATTCTTTTTAATATTAACAAAAAAAAAAATGTCGTGCTTCTGTGTATATGTTATACTAAACTATGACTATTCACAATAATATTACAATCATCAAACATATAGTTATTGTTCTCCTAGACGAAGCAAATGCACACGCGAACTATAATCCATGAATAGTGTATGCATGCACAAACGCTAATAATGTTGATACAAGGCTTTATGAATCGATATATACATACACACGTCGTAGCAAAATTGTATTTATATTTTAGTATGATATCTGTTAGAATATCTCTATAAATGTCATCACTATCTTACCTTCTTTATGTGAAAAACTAAAATCAGTTTTTTTTTCTTCTTCTTTTTCTTCTTTTCGAACATACAAATGTTAAGTAATTACGTTGAACATACAACAAAAAAAAAAAAAAGAAGAGGGAGGAGGAGGAGGAGAAGACTCATCATCATCAAATACTAATATGAGGGATAAATGAAGTAAAATGTTCAGTAGATCTACCGAAAAGATTAACATGCTTGTGCACATTGTTTGATAAAGAGAAGAAAAAAAAATTCTTTTTTTTTTCTTTTTTTGCTTGTTAAAAATGCACGCTCTCTCATTTATATGTTAACAAGCATTCGTAACGATCATCTTAATCATGATCATTTGTACAAATTTCTAATTATATTTTACTGATGACTTTATCCATATGTTGCCGTTTCATATATATAGGAAACAGCATGAGCTTCTGTCTTTTTTTTCCTCTCAAATACATACCCTGATGTGAAAAAAATTCTCTTCTAGAAATAAAATAAAAAAAAGAGAAAAAAAAATGAAGAAGTAATAATCTATTCTCTATCGTATTTGCTCGATGGTCAACAAAAAAATTTTTTTTTCTTTCCTTTTCATCGGTCATCTGTGAATCTGTTGCTGCTTCTCACATACATATATATATATATATATATATGTATATATATATATATGTATATTTTTTAATATTTAAACAAGAAAGCAACGAACAGATGTCGACATGTCCAAGAAAATGACGACGGTCAATGCCGCTTTCATTTATATATATAAATATATATCTCTCTATATATATTTATGCGCATAAATCTAATTATAAATAGAGAGATGAGATTTAAAAACATATATATATATATATTCAATAATATGATCTTCAATGCATATAGTATTCTTTTTATATTGTATACGTCTGTTTCATCATATGTTGACATTCGCCTTTTCTGCTGTTTTTTTTTTATTATTTACCGATGGCCTTTGGACGAAAGTATAGAAAGAAAAAGATTAATTAGAATAAAGATAGAGATTAATATTTGCGCGTGCTTGCCTCTACTTTGACAAATCATAATTCATGTTTAATTCAATAAAGGTCAATGCTTTCTGTATATTTAAATGAAATGCAAAATAGCTAAATGAAGTCGAGATCATTTAATCGTTCCGTAAAGTAAAAAAAAGAAAAACACAACGATGAATATATGTTGAAATTTGCAATTTCATATTGATGTATGGATAATTAATGTACTGAAAAATGTTGATTGATTTTATTCATAATACACTTGATATTGTTTACTTTGAATGATTAATATAGTCAACGTGATATTTTTTCATACGAAAACATCGTCATATTAATGTATTTTTCTTTTTGACCTTGAATGAATATGCTTATTACTTGCCACATTATTCATATATATATATGATGCAATTATTACTCATCGATGGTCGAAAAGTCGCTCTACTTATTCTTGTTTTCTTTTTGTTTTCAGCGTCAAAATAATTGAGTAAATAGAAAGAAAGAAAAAAGGAACTTGAGAACACTATAAAATATTTTACACTCAATTATTTTTTTTTTTTTGTTCTCATTTTTACTCTTTAGTTTATTGCATTCTGCATAACATCCAGGACAAAAAAACACTAAATGACAGCAACACAAAATGATATACAACGATTAATTGAATGTTGTATTTGTTGTGATTATCTTACTGAAGTACGCGAAACACCTTGTTGTCATCAATTGTTTTGTTATTCATGTATTTTATCATGGCTTCAAACATCAACAAAAAATTGTCCACGTTGTCGATCAACAACGCTTACTGAACAAATGTTAACAAAAAATTTTGTTATACAACGTTTTGTTGATAATCTTGAATTTGATTGTCCAAATAAATTACAAGGTTGTCCAGCTAAAGTACCACGATCTGATTTAACAAAACATAAACGTTTATGTCAATATTCACCAGAAAAACTTACTAATAAAAATCGAGAAAAATTAGAAGAATTACAAGCTTTATTAGCAAAATATAAAACAGGAAAAACTCATGTTACTGATAGTGCTATATTTGATTTAGCAAAATTATTTCATAGTGAACATGAATATCAATATGCAAGAGAATGTTTGCAATTGATTAAAGATACAAAAAATTTACCTGAAATGGTAACTCTTCAAGCACAAATCGAACGAGATGATAGTCATTATGATAAAGCATTAGAATTATACACTCAAGCTTTCTCTTTAGCAAATTCTACTCTTGAACGTATTGAAATACTATTAGCCAAAGGACATTTATATATTGAAACAGCTCAATATGGACACGCTAAAGATACATTGAAAGAAGCTCTTGATCTTTTAGAAACCGAAAATCATCCACAAAGAAAAGCTGAAATTTTGAATGCATTTGGACTTGTTGCTAAAAAATGTTCAGACGTATGAATAATTCTTTTTTTCTTTCTAAAATTTTATCGGCTTTTATTTTTTGTTTATGTTTCATTTAAAGTATGATCAAGCTATCTTAGCTTATAATAATGCACTTGAAATTGTTGACACAAATTCAGATGTTTGGTCTGAGATCATATCTCACCTTGCTGGTAAATATGTTATTTTTTTTTCTTTCATTCTGTCTTTTTTTTTTTATTAAATCATTTTAAATATGTAGACATTCATCGAAAGAAAGCTAATTATAATGAAGCAAGAGATCTTTATTTAAAATCTCTTAAACAAATGGAAGCTATCTATGGACAAAATCATCCATCCATTGCTGATATAATGAATAATCTTGGTATGTTACTTAAAAAAGAAGGAAAATATAATGAAGCATTAGATTATCTTAAACAAGCAATAAAAATTTCTAAACATTATTATGGAGAAGAACATCCAAGTCTTGGAATATATCTTACAAATATTGGTGATATTTATCGAAAAGTATTCTGATTTCTTGTTTTTTTTTTTTTATTTTCGAAAATAATTTGTTTCATTTATTATTAATTTTTCTTTTTAGCAAGGTGATTTTAAAACAGCTGAAGGAACTTATAAAGAAGCATTAACATCATTAGAAAAAGCATTCGGACCAAATCATATTGAAATAGCTGAAGTTCTTAATTCAATGGGTTTAGTTTTAAAAAAACGTGCTGATTATGATGGAGCTGAAGATTATTATACACGTGCTATTCAAATTGTACATAATACATTTGGTCATGATCAAGAACATTATAAATTAGGTATTTATTATAATAATTTAGCTGATTTATATCGTAAACGTACTCAATTTGATATGGCATTACAACTTTATCAACGTGCATTAACTTCTATTGAAAAAACACTTGGTCCACAACATTCGGAAGCAGCAGAAATTTTACATAATATTGGACAAGTCCAACATCAACTTGGTTTGTTTTACAATTTTATATTAAATCATTATTTACTGAATTTTATGTTTTTTTTTCTATTTTAGAACATTTTAAAGAAGCTATTGATTATATAAATCGAGCTTTAATTATTATAAAAAAAGAATTTGGTGATAAACATTATAAATATGGAATGTTTCTCAATTCTCTTGGTCTTGCATATGCAATGGCAGATGATTATACAACAGCTTATGTAC